TGAGATAATCATGGATCTTGATTCTCCTAATCATCAGGATCATCCCCCAACAAACGGAAATCAAATCTGAGTTTATTTGACTAAGATATTGGCAAAACAAAAATTACCATAAACGGCAAAAACGCATAATTGAGGGCCTAAACAATGGAATTTGTCCAAAATTTGACATGTTTCAGGGTCAAAGGCCCTGAGTTGTGATCATTGGTCCGTTTCCACTCAAATTAGACTAGCAATTCGTCAAAAACGAACAAACCCGAAATTAAATTGAGTTATTATTTTGCCTTCATCAAAATCAGGCCAAAGCAGGTTTGATTTGTCTTAGAAAACCTCTAAATAAAAACCGTCAGATCTGTCGGTTCAGAGAGAACCGTGACCTACTCCCGAATTAGACGGTTTAGATTTGATTGATTTAAAAACTCTAAAATTCATACATTAAAATCTCTAAAATTCATACATTAGGTGGTAGAAAGCTAAAAAGTGTGACCAAATTTTTTGATGCTGTCGTGTAATGAACAAAAATAGTTACACTTCGTCAACAACAAGTTAATAGGATTTATTTTGTTATTCTTGTTATTTTATTAAAAAGGAAAAGTTTCTTATGAAGTGTTTCATCGTATATAATATGCAACAGTTTAACTTCTTTTTATTGATTAATATTTTACAATATTGTTCAACTCAGCTTACTGAAAGAAAGCCGTGACTTTACCTCCAATGTTGCTCGGTTTTTTCTATGATCCTATATATATATATATTTATATTTATTTATTTATTGTAACAAGAGTCCTAAATCTCTTCAAAAATTTACAACTAAAACATTTAAATACAATTGACAAAATAAAAAAAGAAAATAATATAGGGGAAAAAAAGGGTTTTCTTCCAACCATCCTACTCCTCGACACAATGCATCCCCCACAATTCCCACCCAAACTACCACCAGTAAGCCACCACCACTGTCCCCACCCCCACAACCCCCTCACCGCCACCGCCCCACATTTCTTACCAACCAGATGTTTAGTTACACAAATTTACTTAAAAGCCACTTTTTACTTGCTTAGCCAAACACTTCTTGCTCTGCACTAAATTGTGATAATTTGGAGGGGAAATGATGGCTAATAATTATATATAGTATCTTCCTCGTGAACTATCATTCAACTTTTTGATTCCTTTATACAATGTAATAATTATGTATCTCCATTAGTAGAACAAGCAAGAACTTGATTTTTCAGGTTCTCAATTATCATAACCAGTTTTGTATTGAAACGATTCACGAAGCATTTGGGCAGCCATCCTGCTGGATCAAGCTGAACAATGTAAGTGACCATGCAAGAACCATCTTCAAGCTTCTCTACGACCCATCCCGACTGTAATAATAAGCCTCTTATGGCATTATTTTGCTTTGGATGTAAACCATCGGCTATCTCTTTCGGAAGAGAAGCTACTGCAACTACCTGTGTAGACGACGGTTTAAGTTTTTAGATAAAATAATTGTATTGGCGATAAAAATTATATCATCAAATTCCTCTCACTCCACCAGGGTTTTCGACACCTAAATTCACTTGTTTTGATGCTCAAACCGGAGCAAGAAGAAAAATGATTATTTGAAAGGGAGATATTTGAATTATACGTACTTTTCTTTTTTGAGACATGGGTATTTATAGATTTTCCTCCAAATTTTTGGGTCATTTCGGGAAAAAAAATGATGGGTGGAGGCCTTGTATTGGTTATTTCTAGCTTACGTGTCTAGTATTTATTGGCTCTGAAGTCAAGCTTTAATATTTTCCTTCTTGTACTTTAGTAATGGCTTTTAGTCAGGATGGAAAATTGCTCTATTGCTTTGTGCAAGCCATTTATGCTTTTTGCTTCTCTCGCATTTCGCTTAGAGTTCACAAGGTGAAAGTGGGTTCATGAAATCGATTTAACAAGTTGCACATCTATTTTAATGTGTTTGTTGTGTAACACTTACCAGAGTTCCATCGTCCATGGTTTCACGTCGCTCATAGACAATAAATTCTCGGTTTCTGAATAAAGGTTTGGATTTATCTCCGAACCGCAGACGGATGATACTCAGATTTTCTTCAAGGTCTTTTATATACCTGGCTTCTACTAAATCTGGGTCCCATTGCTACTCACTAAAAAATACGACATAGTTAGTCACACAGGAAAGATAAAATTACATATATACATGTTTGATGAGGTGAATTAGACCCTGTATGACAGTTTTAAGAAGAAAGAAAAAAAGTTAAAATCTTGTGTTATAATGAATCACGCACCTTTGCAGCATCGATGGCATTGGCGACAGTAATAAACTGCTGGGCCGAGACAGATTTGAGCAACCATCTGCTGCGAAAAGTGTGAAGTGAACCAGACCGGCGTTTCGATATCTCCATGCCATTGTCTATAGCAAGTATTTTCCAGCCATCATTTACACTACTACTCTCAACTGATCTATTGGAATCTGAAGCTGAAAGTAATTCTTGAATGCAATTCTCACTGGCATGAAACACGTATCTTCTCAATGAATCTTCACTAATAGACCTGATTCAAAACCAATATATAATCACTTAGTATTGCCATCAAAATAAGTCTTGAATAAGCTGAAATTAACTTAAACTTACCAGGATCTACTGCAAGTTGCTGGACTGGTGCTGCTCATTTCAGTTGATAGGCAGTGATCTATGTCTATCCCTGGATATTTCTTTAATGAAGGACAGTTGAAAGTATTTCAGAGAAAAGTTGAGGTTTTGAATGGTGTTAGGACAAGAAGATAGAAGTCTGTGAAAAAATATGAAGTAGGCAGAGGATGTAGATGCACATGGAATGCCAGAAGCACCTCCATGATTAGAAGAACTGCACCTTTATCTCCATTTCTCTCTCATAAAACCCACCACCAACACTCCATGTGCATCATCTTCCCCACCCCGCCACACCCCATCCCACTCCTCTTAACCCTTGAGAGCTTTTTGGGAGCATAAGAATCTTCCTTTTCTCTAGGAAAGAAAGAAAGGAAATTAAGACAAAGACTAAAACCTAAAGCTTGAAGAATTTTTATTTTACATACCCAAAAACAATAAAATGGACAAAATTTAGTGAGTATTATTCTGTTTATTTTTTAAATTGATCTGTAATTGCAGGGAAAAAAACAATTGTACTTGCAACTCAGCCAATTATACTCTCTGCTCTAAATAATTATTTCTTCATTCGAAAAACAGGTTTTGGATCTATTCTAAGGATACCCTTCAAGTTGCAGAGGAGGACATGGGTAATTATGCTGGAATTTCTTGAAAAAATTAATAATAATAAAAAATTATAAGATACATGGTTGGATTATATGACATTTTTGTAGCTTATTATCAAGTTGATACTGGATCCCAAATTGAAAAGAAAAGTTAAGAAAATAAAAATAAATAAATAAAAATTGATATCATGCTGTCAAAAAAAGAATTAATTTATTGGGATGGTCCATCATTGTTTTGAAGAAATACAGAAAAGAAGTGGACATCTCCAAGTTAAAAAAGAAGTTGAGATCATGACTATTGCTACCCCAGGAAGACTTTTGCTTTATGGCTTGTGCATTGTATCCCTCGCAGTATCTTGGGGCGGTTATGATTTTTACTTTTACTTTCGAGAGATTTATTAGAGGTGTGCCCATTGCCCCACGGGCTCGGCTCATGGCTCTTTTGTAGCGAGCAGACCTCGGGCTCGGCTCGTTACAAATGTCCGAGCTTGTGGCTCGGGTAAATTTCTTTTTTTTTTTTATATTAATAAGATAAGTCTTCAAAAAAAAAAAAAATTTTTTTTTGGATGAGCCCACGAACTGCTCGTGAAAAAACGAGCCGAGCGGCTCGTGGTTCGGTGGCAACGAGCCGAGCCCACGAGCTCACCAGCCGGCTCGACTCAATTGCCACCACTAAGATTTATGAAAAATCTATTTTAGATTAGTGTTTTTCTGAAAAAATTTCTAGTCAAATAAAACACTTCAAAAAAAATTACCCAAACATATTTACTTTTTAATCTCGGAAACAGTTTTTAACTTTTTAAAAACCTATAAAATGAGTTATTCATCAACTGGGATTAAGTTTAATCGACGCTACCAATCACTCGCTTTGCAACAACCTTGCAAATCCTTCGTATTTTTATTTTTTATTTTACTTTTTTTATTAAAAAAAAATCTAACTATGATATTTATGTGTCGTTTCATATCAATTCGAGTCATATTGGACTCTTTCTTTCTACTAGGATCACACAATCCAATTTCAATAGAGACAACCATATGATAAGTCTTACATAAATGACGTACCTTATCAAACATGGAATAATATGTAAAATGCCGTAGAAAATCAGGTATTTCACTATCCATGTTGTTGAGTCAAGAAAGTATAAATTCGGCTAGAAGAATTTCACAGGGCAAAAGGAAAGAAACAAACAAGACTTTAGGTGTTATGGATACGCGTCTTTTTCTTACAACCTTTATATCAAAACCATAATTAAATGAAAACACAACGAGATGTGTAAGCCACGCCCAGAATATTCACCAAACTTTGTACCTATTTCGTAGCAACTGTAATTGGGGGCATGATCAAGAATCGGCTGTCAAATATTAATGGCTAGAAATAATTTAGGGAAAATTGCAATGGAGATCCTCAACTACGAAATTTGTAAATTCTAACCTTTTTTTTTTTGCAGGTGTATTTTAGCTTTTTAATTTTGTAACATCTTGGTCCCTAGTTAATAGGTCCATCCAAGTTTAAAAAGTTTAAAATTCAAAGTTTCACAAAAAAAATATTATATACTTTTATTTTAAATTAAATAAATTAAAAAATATAATCGAATCAAACTTCTCTCCCCCACTAATTCCTTAGCATCACCCTCCAAGAGGGTAATGGGACGAGACAAGCCTAGCTACTCAACTCTGTTCGCTCAACTGTGTGGCACGAGCTCAAGAGCTCACCAAATTATCTTTGCTAAAATTGTTTATTTCACTCATTGTGACAAATCAGCTCGTACATGAGCTGACTCATTATGACAAATCAGTTTGCCGATGACAAAGTCGAGAAGCAACTCGTCCTACTTACATGGCTTGAGAAGTTTATAAACATGAGGTAAATATGTGTTAACATTCTCAAGCATTTTTATAAAAAAAAAAAAAAAGAGGAAATTACACCTACACCTGGAATTAGATTTTCAATTTCATAAATAAGATAACAAGTTTAACATTTCAAAAATCATGTTTTAATTAATAATTTAAAAACACTTTTTTATTTTTATTTTTATATAATTATATCTAATCAAACCCTAATATTAATGCGAAGAAACCGCCATAAGTCACCCATTTCCACCCTCTCTCACTGTCTCGCCGTCTCCACTCTCTCAACCCCTCTCTATCTTTCTACCTACCGATCAACACAACCCCAAAGCAGGGCCCTCCTCCACCAAGAACCCAGGGCAAGCCTTGCCCCTAAACGATTGCCGTCCAACCGCACATCTCCTCCCCGATGAAAGCTCCCTCCAGATCTCACATCTCTCCCATTCTCTCACAGATCTTGGGTGTGTGTGCAACGTGCGGCGGAGGTGATTGGGGTTTTTTGTGCTGTGGTTAAATCTGCACCACCGTGATCCAATATGGATCGGCGTCGGCCTCGTAAATTTGAAGTAGGCAACGACGCCGCGAATGTGTGACTCTCACAACGTCGCTGCAGATCTGATTTTTCCTTTTTTATTTTTTTTAGTTTCGATTTTGATTTTGATTGGATGGGTATGGTGATTTTAATGGTTGATGTTTGTCAGTTGTTGCTGTGGTGGTTTTTCAGTCAAAGGATAATTGCATGTTTGATGTTTGTTGTTGGCTATGGTGGATTTGGCGTCGATTTTGGTGGATTTGGCGGCGATTTTATTGTTGTTCTGTGTGTTGGTGTAGATGGGGGGTTTTTGGATTGTCAAAATCGCCCATTTTGTGGTGAGATCGTGGTTTTTGTCGTCGTTGGAGTGGTAGCGGCGACTGTGGTTCCGTGTTTGGGTGGTGTTGGCTGTGGTTGTGTGTTCTGCGTGTGATTTGTGACTTAGTGGTGCTCACAAACGATTTTGGTGGTGATCACAAATAATTTGATTGTTTGTGACCACTAATTATTAATTGTGACCAAAAAATTATTAATTGTGACCTAAAAATTGATAAATTGTGACCTAAATAAGTATTGTGTCTTTTAAATTTTGCTATCTGTGACCAATGAACAAATTGTGACTTTTAAATTTCTAAGTTGTGACCAATAAACAAATTGTGACCTATGAAAATTTTGAATTGTGACCTAAAAAATTTTGAATTGTGTTTAAATTGTATAGATATGTGACCTTAACATATTCGTTGGAA